ATAGGCAAAAGTCGCGAAGCTGTTCGCCGGCGGGGACGAAATGCGGGTCAGTGTGTGAACAGCTCTTCGCTCCTTATGCTGCATTTCAGGAGGTCGGCGACCGGCTGCCTCTCTCGATCCGCCTGTTTTTTTTCGACGGAGGAATTACACGCTGATTAGACCCGTCTTATTCCGGCGTAAGGAGAAATAATTTTCTTTTTTTTTTACAGCAAGTCGTAAAATTTTGAAAAGATAATTGCCCGTCGCTGTAATATTTTTGAAAATGTGGAGTTTATAATTAAGTGTAAAATCTTCGAGATAATTATAATGTGAATAGCAGACATTAAAGTTGCCGTTTAAACTCTACAGCTTTGCATAAACGAAATAGCCGACCGAGAGAAATTATGCAATTAATCATATCTAATTATGTGTGTAATATCTTGAACGAGATCTAGATACTCGTGAAACGTGCTTTCGAAAGAAAGGCGTCGGCAGTTGTTATCGATACGCGCAAAATGACATTTCGCGTAAGAACTCGCACTACTTTCTCTTTCCATCTTTGTTCTTTTTTTTCTTTTTTTTTTTTTGATAATAGATTCAGTGATGAATTTGGGGATGAATTCGGGGCACGATAATGAATGCGCGCCATCGAACTCCGGAACATCCGATTTATACGGCTTTTAAGTATATCTTTGTGCCACCTTGTATCCGGTTATTTGAATTTATAGCGCACTGCTATTCTAAAATCTGTATTTTTCAGCATAAAAATGCGGCATGTGTACCGCGGTTACGATATAACCGCTAATCAAAACTCGTAAATTACATATGCATGATATACTTCGACCCAATTATAGTGGATTGAATCGAAACGATTCGCAAGCTTGTATTAATATTTGCATGTATTTTCGTTTCGGCAACAATATCCGCGATAAACTGTTTCATTAGCTACGCGCGTAACGGAGATTTTTTTTTTCCAGGAACATTTTTTTCCCCCCCAAACATTAACGCTCGCTGTTTAATATTCCGTGGTATTTCTTAAGCCGTTTAGTAGCCGTAAATTACGTAGTGTGAAATTTACAACATCGGCATACGGAGCGTAAGTTAGAAAGCGTAGTAATGCGAGAGACGCATCGACACACTGGTCTATTTTACAATTATCGCTATTCGAGATGGAAGAATTCAATTTCCGATCTTGAATGATCACTTTGATGTTGCGCACAAAGAAATATGTAAATTACTTGGAATAACATCGGGCAAAAGATTCGAATGATATCTGTGCGCGCTGCGCAAATAGAAACGAATTTATTCACTGTGACGAGCAATAGTGCATTTGGGGCCTCTTGCGATTGCACATTTCATTCTTTAAAGAGGCCGAACTTCAACGAGAAACGTTACTTTCTACTGTTAATTATGCACACGTTCTGTTAATGGACGGGCGCGATTAAGCGAGCCGTATATGTAAATTTATACAGATCTCAAAAGTGCAATCTCCTTCTATCAATTTTTCGCTCGAAGTTGCACAGTGATTCTATCATCGTGAATGTAATAAGCATTAATGCGCGGACTACTTTTACTTTTGCGCATTGCGTGAAATGGACGCCCAGAAGTGATATTAGCATATTTATTTCATTGTATATTTTAGGAAATCCCATATAAACGATCGTTTCGAAAAACTCTGCGCTCGAAATTTCTTTTAGTGTAATCAATCGTCGGATTATTATCTATCAGCAGATATCGCAAAGTTATTTTATTAAAATGCAAGGTGTTGTAAAATATTTTTTTCCAACATAACTTTTTCAAATCAGAAAAATCATCAATCATTAAATATTCAATTTTACAAAATTAATATAATTTAAATAATTGAGTAATTCCTGCAATATTTTGATCTCACTTTTGTATAATAGAAATTTTATGAAAATTGTAATAATAACTTGTTTCACAAAATAAGAGATATTTTTCGTCTATTGTTTTCCTTTATGACAATTGCGGTCGAATATAAATTACGTACACCAACGGCTGCAATTCGCGTAAATGAACTCGAAAATTCCGAACGCACAGGCTTTCGCATGCGGTCCACCGCAATGCCAACAAACTCACCATTGTGCAGGGCGGCTGTACTTCCGCACTGGGTCGCCGCAACGCCACCCTCGACCTACTGGCTCGTTCTTCTCCGCTTCTCCTTTCTCCTCGCTCTTCCTCCCTTTCTCTCTTTCTGCGAACTTCACTCGGCGATTATCGCTTTTGTTTACTGACCGCGCCCCTGCACTCGCTCACATCGCACCACTGGCACATGTCCTCCCGTCGCAGTCCGATCTTATCGTGATTAGGCCCCGTCGGATTCTCCCCCGTCACTTCCAGCCGTCGAGCCGTTTTGCTCCGCGAGCTTGGCGCGTCAACGTGCGTCTACGGGCGCGCGGTGCCTCGACACGGTGATATACGTGCGGTCTTAGTAACACGAGCAGTTTGAACGGGCTCTCCCGAGCAGGACAGGCTATATAGATATCCCCTCCAGGAGACGACGGAGAACTCGCGGGCAGGGTACCACCGGCGGACCGTGATCCAGGAGAAAGCCTCTCCTTCGATTGATCCCATGGTGTACGTTGGGTATCTTTCTAGGAGAGATACGCCCGTCAGTCTTGCGCTCGGAATCATCATCTTTCTTCTAGCATCGTAATTGACTGGAAAAAATCAATTCAAGTTATTGTTATCTTATCTTAATTGACTTCTTTTCTTGAGAAATTGAACCCTAAAACAGTTCGTTGTACAAAATTGTAAAAAAATTTTTATTCTATTTTAAATGTTACTTTGCATAAAATATAGATATCGCTCAATTCAAACGTATTACTTTACAAAGCGTTATAGTATTCATAAATCATCTCGCGCATCCTCCAACCTGCGCGCAAAAAGCTGAAAATTATTACGCGATCAATCATTTTCCAATTACGATTCACGACATTCATCGTGCATTGTTCTGCTTTCTTTTCGTAACAATCCAATTGCAGCCTGTCCCGTTTAAAACTCAAATCACAGTGTTTTAAGCATCGAGCATGCTGAACGCCGATATGCACGCATCTATTAGACCGCAATGAATGTAAGGACTTGACTGATTTAGTATTGTTAACTTGAACTATACGTAAGTAGCTTTTTAACTGCAAATCATGAACTTGCCAGTTTATTACGCATACTTATTCGTACATATTTTATGTTCAAAAATTAAAATCTTCAATTCTCTGATTCGCAAATATCTTCTGCATTATGCACGACGTATCAATCTGCACACGGAATTGTGCCCCGAATTCTGTCGCAAATTATAGGTTAGCTTAGAGTGGGCTTTATGAGAGAGCTGCTCCGCTTCGGCCGGAGCTCGCAAGGCAAGCGGGAGAAGTGAGAGGCGATCGGAGGTGTGCGCGTGTTACTCGTTCTTATGCAACTTCTGATTGGAATCGTGGGTCAGTTCGTCGACTCTTACGGAAATATGCGCTGCTACGATCCTCTCGCCCGCAGGAAGAAACGAGAGGCGCTGTACGCAGCGCCTGGGATTAGGAAACGCATCGGCCGCGTTCGCCGCGTCCGAGACGCGTACGTACGCGCTGGCTCATGTCCCGGGATGCCGCTCAGGATGTTGCATCCGACGGTATTTCGCCTGCCTCCGTGTCGGAGCCGGCCGCGCGGCTTGTCGGAGGAAATACGCCCGACTTCGCGAAACTTTCGTAATTCACCGCGAGCATCGATTTCCTGCACGGGCTTCGGGCACTCGAATCAAACTCAAATTGGTTTGATAGGAAACCAATGTGAACGGCCGCATTATTCCGGATATTACCATTCATTCGTAATTGACTGTTATTCCGGGTCGACGTTAATGATTGAAAAGTATCTGCTATTACGTTTTCGCATTTTAAACCTTTGCAAGTCACTTTTCACACGTTTCATTTAATTAAATTGTTAACTAATTAAGTGAGAATCTCCTCTCTTTTATGCTGCATTATCGAAATAATAATTCTGACATTTACATTGTAATTTATACATCAATGTATCATTAATTATGTGAATGTATATATTATACAATAAATGAGAAGATTGACGATTTATGGATCGAAATACATCGTTTTCAGAGTTTCAAAAACTCTCTACTTTTAAATCATATTGCTATTAATTATTGGAAGTATTGTCCAAAAAATTCTTACGATTACTGCGGAGACTTGAGAATCTTGAGAATTGCGTTACCTTTCAATAGAAGTTTCAAAGCTGTTCCTACAGAACATATCCTTTTAAGGCTCGTTGCGAAAAATAAGAACAAGCAAGATAGTAGAATAAGGCGAATCCGTGGAAGGACGAGGCGAATCGTCGAATTGAATGCCCGGATATACGGGGTGCTGATGATTGCACGCCTTCAACATTCGCACGGCCCCACGGACGCCGGACACGCCGTCCTGCATAAAACCATCAAAAATTACGCCTTACGAGGCAAATTAATTACTTGGCCGCGCGGAGATTTTCATCAGACGCGTATATATTACACAATTTCGTAATAAGCAATGAAGAATTTCAATGAGAAAAGATCGCGCACAATGTCAACCTTTCTATCTAAATTCGGTCGAGCGCCTTTCTGTTACATTCTCCGGTTTAGTGTTCTGCAAGGATATCCAATATCCCTTTCCAATCATTCGGCTTCTCTCATCGACCAGTTCGCTTGACCGATGCTCTGCGCAAACTAAGCAAATGGCTGTTGTGACGAGGGTGAAAGTGAGAGAAATTCGCGATTTGTCCCATTGAATATCTATATAAACTTGTCGCAAACAAGAGCACTCCAGAATCTGCACATCGATGTTCGCTCAAAACGTTAATCGGTTTGCATAATAGCTGTTCTGACGATAAGTAACGCGAGCCTCGGGACGCGCGTCGCTATATAGCGATTAGAAAAACATAATTTCTCCTCGCTGTAGAAAGTATTCATATTTGTGGCGAATGGAAGCTGTGAAAGTAAAATAACTATGCCTAATCAATGTTTTAGTATTATTGTATTTATTATATTGTCGGAAAAGAATTAGCGTGGAGGCTAAAGTTTATGGCAGAAAGTCAATCAGCATAAACAATCCTGACGCTATTCGGTTCTTTTGCAACTCTTTCCAGCGTTTAAGGAATTTCAACGGATGAAGTTATAGAGAATTACACGTAATACACGCTGCGAGATGATATTGCGCCACTTTTGCGAGATGCATTACGATAAATTTATAAAAACGAAAAATATCGTACCTTTGTGTGGACATCCTGTACGGCTGTGTTTGCACATATTTCGACCTTCGCCTTTCCTTTCACTGCTGTTATTTGTAAAAATTGGCGGCACTTCAAGTAAGACTTCCTGCGCACGTATAATTTGTCATAGGTTTTTCACAAAGCACGGCACTTTACAAGGATGCTAGCCATCTCGTGAAATGCCAGCAGGTGCTATTAGAATTTTTATAAAAAAGTGGTATAAACTTATAAAATACACATATTATCGCAAAAACACTGACATTAGAAGCCATCACATCTTCCTGTATAATTAGAAAAAAAATACTGATATTTTTTTAAAGATATATTATTTTTCGTTATGAAATATTCTGCACTGAAAATATTTTTTCCATAAATTATATATTTTCTTTCGCGATGAAAGATTTTCGTGATACACTAACTTTTCCGCGTCAATTAAACGAATCTTTATTTGACGAAAATTGGCTCGATGACGCGGGGACGTCCTGGAACTGTGAGATTGCCGTCACGAGCGACGTTAATTGATAGCGAGGACAATGAGATTTCATCCCGTTGCCTCGTGCCTTCGGAATCGCCGCAGGTGAAAGCGGACCGCCCGTAATGCAAAATGCATTCCTATTTCATGGCCGGCCCCCTCATCTCGTGCTTCTCCTATGCAATTACCTTAATAATCCGCCGCCGTATCACCGTGTTTCCACCGTCTTAAGTGTTCTTCCCCCCCGGCCCGTCGTCGCGACGACGAATATTGTGGCGATTCAATTTGCAATCCGTTCACGTCTCGCGAAAGAAGAGACAAAGAAGAGAATGTCCTTTTAACCGATATAAATTAACGTGACGCGATCGCGCAACGATCGTCGAGAATCTTTACTACAGCAACGAGCAGGCTAATGCGACAAAGGCCGGTATCGTTATAATTATTCGGTCATTATATTGAATAATAATGGCAGACAAATAAATTCCCATTGATTAAGGCTGGCTGAATTACACGATGATAATATTCAATGCAATACAAAGCATTTCAATAGAAAACAAGACATCTTGTAAAGTAGTGCTTATTAAAAATACCGCTGCCGATTCTGCATTATTATTCATTAAACGAGAACAACTTAAGTGGCGGTTTGGAGAAATAATAGCGTTATACAACAATGTTTTATTGCGATAATATTACGTAGATACCTCTTTTAGTATAAAAACGATATTGATACGATATTATCTGTTGCATAATAGTGCTAACAGCCCGCAATTACGTTATATTTCTAGTTTTCTAAAGCAGAATTATAAAATGCGGGTTAAATAGAAGAATAGTCGGATTAGGATAATAAGATAGCATAATAAGATGGAATGTATAGTTTTTTCCTTATTATTAATCATTATTTAATCTCCCATTTTATCAAATTATTTACGTAAAAATTTCTTGCAGCGTGTTATTATAAATTCTTAGAGCGGTGAAAGTTTTTGAGATCGTAATTTATTCCTAGCAATTATCCCAAAGCGATGACATTACGTTATCCACGAAATTGCACAGTGCACTGCTGTGTATCACGATACAACACCGCGCAAAATTGTTAACGTTAATTAATTTTCTATAAAGCATTTATAATATTTTTATGTAACATTTGAATTATCATTCCACTATAATTCAAAGTTCTAGTGGGTTAAATATAGCGCATTCTAAATATGGAAAACAAAGAAACAAAGAGAGAGAAAGAGCCGAGCACGAGAATCATGCTGTAAAAGTATGCATCACGCCGCGCGAGGAACGTGAGTGCGGGAGCTGCCGTGGCGGATGAGCAATGAACTTGACCGGAAGTAGGTCAGGGTGAATCTTCTCGAAGCACGGTGACTATCTTCCGCGTGACTTCTGGAGCACGACGGATCGTCTAAGAATTTCTCGAGCGAATATTTACGGATTTTCGACCAGATTGGACGCGACTTTTTCGGCAAATACGTGAAATACGAATCGTGGATCTATGAGAAACCCTGGCTGTCATACATGATTTGTGTCGCGAAACTCTAAAATAATTTAGAAAGCGCCAGTCGACAGGAATGGATCGTTGTCGCGCTGAGAAAAAAACTGACTGTATAAATAATTTTGGATTCGTCGAAGTGAAATTAAAATTGAATAAAGTGATTAAATAAATTAGAACTGAAAGTGCTCTCGTTTTCAGATTCAGAAATGTTTACGACAACAAGCGTTTCGGTCATTTAACAAGACCTCTCTCGTAAGTCGAAATTAATTTGAAATCAAAATGAATATATTGTAGCACTTTGACATTGGCTTCTATATTTTACGCTCCACTTTTTCTATTTATATCCGCTGCGTTTTTAGATGAGCAACAGTATGTAAAGCACGCTACCTCGGCCATCATTTGTCTTCATTAAGACGGGCAGTGTCGCGTAGAAGCGATACATTCTCCGTGAATATCTATATCACTTCTGTGATGCATCAGAGTTATAATTTAATATTATGTCATAGCGGTAAAGTGATGCAGTTTGACACTTGATACTACGCGCGGGGAATCTGATGCCTCCTACGCACGTGCTGCGGAACAATCGATAAACGTTAATTTAAAGTCTTAATTTAAATATCTTAATTAAATCCGTTCTTGTTGCACTAACGCGAAAGTTGACGTTGAAATTTCACGGAGATGAAATAACGATTCAATCTTCTTGTTATGTGGAGCGGATTTAATGCCACTCTTGCGTAATCGAATAGTGGCCGCGTTATACATCAATTTTCGTCTACCGACGTAACGCGAATTGGACGATGCGTAATAGTCTAACAGGTAGAATCATTATACGAAAAAAAAAAGCGGCGCTGCGCGAACAAGCAATCTCTGTTCCGCGCGCTCTCTCACGAGCATTCTGTCTCTTGACAAAGACAGAAATTAACTTCGCGATTGAATTCGCGGAGGAGGACAGCTTTCTCCGATTTCGTTAATGGCGCGCAGACAGTCAAAGCAAAGATGTTTACCAGACGAAAAACAAAAAGGCATTGCGGAATCAGTAGATCGCGGATATACTAGTAGAATTCCGGACGCGACTCCGTGCGTTTTATAGTGCATTATGAAATCACTTTCAGACACGTCGTACGCGGCACGAGTAACCGCATGTAATCGACACGCAAGGAATATCAATGCATCTATCAATAATTCTACTCTCAAAGACCTTGTGTTTATCTTTCTCGATACATTCAATCATTTTGGCCTGTTCTTTTCTACAAAAATAAAATCATTTTAAATAATTCGAATGAAACGAATCTTGAAAAATGACGTTAATTATTCTTAAGCGCTTAAAAGCTGCTTTCGTTTGTGATTCGAGTGCGCATGTGTTTTAGCGAGCATATTTTTCTTTGTCAAATTTCAGTATCACGTGAAAACGTTGTTCACCAGTCGCGGTGGGAGATGCGCTTACGGTAATAACTTCTACTTAGCTCTACGTAACTCGTGTTGCAACGCATACAAATTAGAGGCGCTTTCTAGGTCACGTCTGAATTCGCCGCCCAAGTCTAGTTTTGGATGCGCGCACAAATTCGCGGACAACACGTATCGCGATTGCAGCCCGACGTAATAAATCAGTGTCTTACCTTTTCTGTAAAGGGCGCCAGCCGCAATCGATTACACACGGAACTCGCGGGGCAAACCTATTGTTGCATGGGCGACCTTTAAAATCAATTCGCCTTTTCCTTCTTCAGATTTTCTCACGGATTAAAGTTATGGTATCGGTTTTCACTGCGTCGAAGCTTTCCCTTTCTTCCTATGTAGTTCTGTAAATATTAAAAATATAAATTTCAATTTATTGTCCTGTAAAAATTTTTATTTTAGAACATTTTTTAAATTTAAAGGCACATTTATTTAAAAAAATATAAAACGTTTAAATTATAGCTTTCACAATAAATTCTTTATTTTAAAAAAATCTGCGAGATGCTTTTAATTTTAAAGATTTATCATGGTTTAATCATTTTTACAGATTAATTAAAAAATTTAGAAATAAATAAAATAATTACAAATCCGTCTAAGAGATCCGTCTAAGATTTAATAATGTAAGAATGAGTTGTAAGAAATAAATAAGTCCGCTGTAATATTTCTGTTCCATATACTTTCTTTGTAAAAAGTTATCATATAAAAGACAGATTTCTTCATTTGACCTCTGTAACTCAGAGGTTAATTATATAGTAACTGCGTGATCGGAGCTACCGAACGAAAGTAGGACACACTTTTACTCTGACATAAATCCACGTTTTTCATCAATCATGCACAACGCTCTATTTTCATGATAAAAAATATTATACAATGCAATACGACGAAAAATACGATACTTCTTTTTCGTTTTTATGCAAAAATAGAACTTAGCAGTTATTCTGAAAGGTTTTTGCACATATTTTGGATATATTGCAGCCTTTCATGAAATCTGCATTGTATCGTCTGTGAATAGCGTTATCCAAGCGTTACAACGGTAAAAAAGCGTTTCATGAAATGTCGATTTGCTTCGGCCAATAAATGATATTTCTCGGCGGTCACAATGATTAAATGTAATACCGCAGAGATTATATAGCGCGAATCTCGTAGCTGTAGCACACATCAACCTGCTGTACGAAGAGCAACTGCTTCGCGTTACATCATGCAGGAGGAAGCTAGGTGGCTATAATTTTCTATAAGATTGTAACTATCATTTCCCTGTGAAAAACCTTTACAATAATTCGCGCACGGCTCATTTCGCCCATGCCGCTTTCGATTCGCTTCGGTAAATTTGCTATGTTTAATGTGCTTAAAGTTATCAATCTTGAAGAAATTTGTAATGATGTGTTAAATACCATTTCAAAATGTGGCAATATGTTACAAGTTATCTTTCTGAAGTAACAGAATTAATGTTGTGTGCATGTCAGCACTATTACACAAAGTCAAAGCCGATAAAATAAGATTTTTGTAACTGTAAAATTATTCGTTAGATGAATAATTTTTTGATCCTTTGCCTTTTTTAAAATCTTATTTTCAATTTTTAAAACTTTAAATGTAACATTATGAAGCCACAATGCAATATATACAAGATGTTTTATATCTCATTATCTTTGACTGACAAGAAAAATGATTAATAATACATTATTAATATTATTTATCGATTCTGTATTATTTTGACGAAAATTATGTCGTCTTTCTGCATTTGTGTACATCAAAATGCAGTAATTATTAAGGTCACGGTTAAAAAGGAAAGTCTTCTAATTGCTTCCGTGGGAAGCCTTCGACCGCCCGTGACTGATTCGATCGCATAATGAAGACAATCCACATATGTGGATATGTGCAAAATACACATGACAGTAAATATGAATAACCAAGAGGAGAGAGTAACGGAATCTTACTTTCACATTCGGATTTCTGACCGTTCTGACTCAGGATCTCCGTTTCATTGCTATGGAATGTTTAATTTTTTTAAAAATAATTTTCTAAACTCAAAGACACACCTTTCTTCGTGAAAGAGAAACGAGAACAATATTTTCCCAATGGATTTCTAAAATGTTCTTAGTTCGATTGTAATAGATTATCATCTGCCTTTTATTTTAAAGAACAACAATTAATGTTTATTAAAATCAACAATCGACAAGAGAAAGGCTCGCAATGATAATTTACGAAATATTATATAATAATGGCTTTTCGAATCGTTGGATGTTAGCGCGAGAACAATTTATTTCAATTATTTCAATTTATTTCTGTAATATTTCAATTTGAAATCGGTGTGCATTTAATGTCTCAATGTATATGAATATGTTCTACATGAAAAATAAATTATCCAGCGACGACTCGAAAAGCCATTATTATATTATATTTGGTAAATTAATGTTTAGTTATAAAATTTTGTTTGACGTCATAATTTGAGTTAAAAATTTCATTAGCTTCTTATTGAAAAGATTAAGAGAAATGGTATGATGCGATTATATTATATGTATATCTTATTGATAATATTAATTCACTTTTTCAGATTCTTTCCAACTTTCCTTTTAATTGATGCAAATTGAAGTAAATGTAGGTTAATTACCCTTTTATGTCGAGGTTCAAGATTAACAAGATAATATTCCTCGATATATTTCCATCAATTATGTTATAACGTTTTTGCGCAGGATTCGACTTTACGAATAACAACCAGATGTGTGGAATATGTTTTTACACGGAGAATACCAGGGGTTCCATTGACCCGAACAACTGAAATTTTCACGCGGCACTCTACTGGAAAGTTACAACAGTGTAACCGTTATAGCCGGTTCATCCAGTTTTCACAATTCCACAGAACGGATCCCGTATGTGTATCAAGCCGGACGCCGGATCTTTCTACATAATCATCTGTCTCCATTTTTTCCCCTCAGATCTGATATTCGCCGAAACTCTTAGTGAGCAATTCTACTTCAACACGCAAGACCCAGAGATTTTGTCTCATGCGTATGTATCGATCATTTCATTTTTATGTCGCATAGCTTAGCAACCGAGTTCCAAAACAAACTTCTCTGTGTGGATCGCGATAATTTCTTTTTCTTTCATTCCTGTGCGTTTAGGTAAAAAAAAAAAAAATAGTTGGTAATAGCAAAACTGAAAATCAATGGAAGATAAATTTATGTAAACAGCCAAGATGAAGATTATTAAATTTGTAGAAAAAGAAATGTTACGCGTGATTTATTAAAAGAAGAATGCGTTTAAAAAAAAACATTCTATTCTCGATTATGTATGCCGGGCCAACAAACGCATAAATCTTTTTAACGAACCTGTTTTACAGAGAAAGTGGCTGCAGCGTGTTTATCGATCCACTGATGCTTGGTCATCCGTGTTCTCCCGATGAGGGTCCAAATCCGGCCGGTTAATCTTGACCTCGACTTTCACCCTCGTCACAAGGTCTAGGACGTTGGCTATAGTTACTCTCGTCCTTATTTTATGGTAAAATAAAATTTTTTTCAGGCTCTGAAAAACCATTATTCTGAAAATAAAATGTGACAAAAAAACAATAGCTCAAGATCAAAGAAAAAAATCAATTCCGTGAGAAAAAAGCTCTAATAAACTTATATCGCGGAAATATTTCGAATTATTTTATGTATTAAATAATAAAAGGAATTCTTTTTCAATTTTGCGAGAGATGAAAAATTAAATCGCAAACATATTTTACGAAGAATATACATTTTTGACAAATGTAAATTGTGACAAGTAAAATTTGACATTCGACAAGCGGATTTCTCTTTCACATTTCGCTAAATTATTCTATCTCAACTTGGGTTTTTTGCATTTAATTATTTTTCTATCACACGTAGCATGTTATCCTCAATTGAACAATCTGTTTCACGTCTAAAAAGAAACTATGAATTGACACATACAGTTTAAAACTTCTCGATTTTATTTTAGTCGCCGGGCGCGGTTTTACTTTCACCGTTCGAGACGGCGGCATTCTTGAACGACGCCGCGTGCACCTTTCTTGCCTTCTTTCTCACCTCGGAATTATGGAAAGTAAGCCGCGTTCGACACATCGAGGTCGCAAGAAAGGATATAAGGAGACGGAACTGCGAAACGTAATGCGTAAGCGACTGTCAAGGATAACACGATCCTGTTTCCTACCCGAGCAATTTCTGCCGTCGGGATAAATCTGCCATAAATGTTGCAGGTGCAATATACATTCATATGACGCGGCTTACGCGCGTAACACGTTAATAATACGCGCATACCGGAACGAAAGCGCGCATTCGAATTATTCGCAATCGTGCAGCCGCGTGTGAAAGAATTCTCTTTGTTCGAAGACGGAAAAAGGATTAATCGCTGACGCGAGCCGGCCGAGGAGCCACCGTGTGCAAACGCTAAATTGCTTCGCGACTTTTTCTTATATCTACATAAGCTGTAATCAAGCGGCAATGGCGCAAGATTGCAGCATAGATTGTAATTCCTCGGGTCTTACGAATCTCTTTCCCGTCCTCGCCGCAAATCTCGTAAGTTTAAACTCGACTTTTCGAGCGGAGCGGACTTTTTCTCCCAAGGATACACAAAGAGTTTTCCGCAACACCCACGATCTTATCGTCCTCGGAGCCCGGAGTGCTCCGCGATCGAAGGATGACCGAAGGGAGAGCGAATTTAAAGAGGAGATGCACGAAGGAGCGCAGGAGAGAACAGCGGGTGTGGATATTAAAAGCATCGTTTATTCCTCAATTTTATTCCCTTTCATATTATGAATATAATAACGATTCTTATCACGCTTTGTCGTAAGTACATCTTATCGTCGGAACATCGAGAACGTTGGTCGAGGGCACTGGAGCGAGCTCGATCGACGATGTCGCGTTTTTTTTTCGCGCTCTGAGCTAAATACCGTTTACGACGCAGTATCGCTCGTCGATCGAGATCCTCCGGAAAACTCACATGCGACGTTTTCACCTCGATACGTAACTCCCCTCGCTCTCGTCGAATCGACATTCGACCGGTCAAATCACATTTGCGTTCTTTATCTAAATTTCTTAAGTTTTCTCTCTCTCTCTCTCTCTCTCTCTCTCTCTCTCTCTCTCTCGCTCGCTCGCTTTCTTATATCAATTAGGAAGTGTGGACAAATGTGTGTGCGGAGCGTTTCGACTGATCGAAGCGATCTGCATCTGCATCGGCCGGTGTGAATGAGAAAAGCGCGGCCCTCGTAAATGTGTTCGCGACACTCGTATCTTTTTCTTTTTCCCCTTAACGACTAAACACTCGAATGAAGACTTAAATACCACACGAAGAAACTGGAGCATGCAAATTCGAAGGTGCGCGTGTGTGCGTTCGTGTATAAGTGTGTGTAGAGACGTATCCGCTGCAAGTTGATTGTACGATCGGTAATAACGGTGCGTTTCCGACGCACATCCGTCTTCCTCTTTTTGTCGGCGAAAGAGATCACGTTTTGTTTTCCAGAAAAAGATCAAATCGAAGAGTTTGCTTTCTCCAAAGCGTCTTAAATCCGTATTTTCCGAATCCAGGGAGATTATTCGTCGCGAAATTATGGAGATTGTTACCCCTTAGAATATTACAAAAGCTTATAACGTAGCCACATCAAACTCTTTAATATCAAATCCTAATTCTTTTCAAATACGAATGCAAGACAATTTGTCTAACATGAGCTCTTCAATTTTTCAAGCTTAGAATTGACAGGATAAAGATTTATCAATTCAAGTGCAGCTAAATCTTCCTCTCCTCAAATATTTGATATAACTTGAGAATCGATAGACCATCGAGAATTCTAAAAAGCAGTTCAGAGTAGCGATAAGCACGATGTACAGATTACATTTTCTGTTAGACTAAAATTTTGGATCTCCCATTTTTTTTCCAAGAATAGAGTTCTACCACTAATCTAAAAGATATATTGTACGTGTGTATATGTGTACGTGTGTACGTTGCTCTTAAAATTTATATATTCTCGAGAACAGCGAGACGAAATAGGAAGAATAGAATCGTGTGTCTCGAAAGGGGGAATAGAATTTTTTCATGGAAGTACAAAACTGGAAGAGTAGAAAAGGACTAGAAGTAGTTTAAAAAACGAGTTTAAAACCTGTCGTGAAATGTCGATCGTGATATTCGTTAATACTGACGTTCGGTTCTAGGTAGCAGGTACTGTTTTTTGATAATCATCGATGGGTCTCCTAATTCTGGCACAGCTGTTAGTAAACGCAACGTTGATAGAATTTGACTTGACAGCATGCCGTGAGAGAGACGGAAAATAAATAACAAAATGTTCAATATTGAAACCTAAGCGGATCGGGAAGCCCCAGAAACACAAATGCGAGCTTTCAGGTATCGTGGGTGTCTGCGATTCGATAAGTAAGTTCGTTGACTAGATGACGTAAAGCTTTGTTACACTGCGCGTGTAATGTGATGCGTTTTAGCTCGCCTCTTAGGCCTTTCGAAAGAAATAATGCGCTGTGGGTACAAGTGTTTCTAACCACTGAATGTCTTTTTGCAACACAGATTATTTTGGCCGAGTTGGAGATTTTTCCTTAGTACAATCTTTTGTAACCAAGTTTTTAAATTAACATTGTATCAGAAGAGATTATATAAAATAAAATCAACTAATTAATGCTTGATTTACCAGAAGCTTTTTTTAATTGTTAATTGCCCAAAAAATGATGAATGACTCCACATTTTCATTGATAGGAAGAATCGATTCCAAATTGGCCAAAAGAATCTGTGAAAATAATTTGAAAAAGACACCTGATGATTGTGTGATATATTGTATATCGTGTAATTTACGTGTATACGTGTACATGTTTGTGGACAAACGCGCCCCGTGTAGTGCTCCATAACGAGACTCTCAAATGTTGTGCCGAAAGGATCATCGAGGCGCTTATATTGCATAAGAATGAGTAAATCGAAGATAAAAGACTGGAAAAAGACGTATGGCGTGTAACGACTATAGTATATAATTAGAAAAGCGAAAAATGGATCAGCGATATACTACCCTCTATCACACTTTCTCTCTCTCTCTCTCTCTCTTTCTTTCTCGCGGACCGGTCACAAACCGGTAAAATGACGGCTAGGAATAAATATTTATACGCACTATCCGCCTTCTCGAGCGAGTGTATTTCCACAACGAGCTTGCGACAATCGCGCTGTTAAAATAAGTAATCGAATCTTGCGTGAATAAAATACAGATAAAAATATATTGAACTCGCGGGAATAATAACAAGTGACGATTAATTGACTCATGGAGGAGCTTATTTTCTGAAACCTCGATCCATCACTTTGAAAAATTTTCGTGGAATGTCTTCAACATATTTGTAACACAGCCGGTAACACGTTTCTCATTTTCATAATAAGTTCGAAAATAAGCTCTTTATTTACCGAGCGAAATCAGCGCTAAAAATAGCTGGCGTTTCATGGCGTGCTTTAAAGCATCAGACATGTTCAGTGATTTCTGTACAACTTCGTAGACTTTTCACATCGCATGTCTGAGCAATATAAAGTTTAACATACGAAAGAATACGCGCCGGACAGCAAATGTCACGACGGTGATTGCGCAACCGCGTAAAAAGCCGTAGCAAAGTCGCCACTAACACCAACGGTACATCGAACTTGTTCCCCGCGTGATAAGAAAATTGTCGCACGTAGAATTGCGTATCGGAGGTCAAACGCGAAATGTCGTTGTGAAAATACACGCGTCGCGATCTGGACGATTTTCAGCTAAAAAGGCAACCAGCTTTTCTCGCAGCAACAATTTTCCCCAGCGACAAAGAAACGCCGATATAAAATAATCTAGCGTTCTTTTCTCTCTCTCTCTCTCTCTCTCTCTCTCTCTCTCTCGCTCGCTCTTTCTCTCATTTAATCAACACGTAACATGTGCGTTGGAACGAAGACTTAAATAACGTCAGACGCTTTAAAAGGGAACCATCGCGCGCAACATAGGTAAGCGTGTGTATACGATTTTGCATAACCGCATGCGCGAATATATTGAGTTAATGCGGAAGTTTCGCCGTTATCTTCATTACTATTAATTCAAAAAAACAACTGCTCCCGCGTCTCCGTAAAATCCATGAAAAATATTCGCACGACTATGGTTAAATAAGTTCGCTATCTGTAAGAAAGTGCACGGCGGAACGTCCAAATTAACCGAAAACCAATTGCAATATCCTTCCGCGAGACTCAGTCACGCATAATTTTCCGCGGAAATTTCTAAGACTCGATTGCGTCCTGGAAAATATTTATTCGCTCTCTTACACCTCTCTATCTCTCGTAACGATTTCTAACTGGCTAACTAACAACACCAATGGACGAAACGATCGACGATCCCCTATGGGAAATGTCATCGCATTTTGTTTAAATATCTATCTCCATTAATTTGTCAATTTGTTAACTAATGAATCTCTAAGAACACACGTTCCTTGCCCTCCTTGATATGCTCGAAACGCGGCTTTCCCTTTTAATATGGAATACTTTCAAGATTTCCTTGCCTGTGCCCCTTTCTTTCTTCCTCTTCCACATCGTTTTCTTTTTTTTTTTTTTTTTTTTTGAGAGATCATTTTAAAGGAGTCATCGCGCTCCTCATATTTCAAGTACGATCAAGGAAGAAGCTGCTTTTTTCTCGACTTCGTTGAGTCACTGTCGTTGAATTTAAAGAGAACTACCTTTTTTTTTTTTTGGTGATGTCATTTCGTTTGTGCTACATAAGAAATATATTACGAATTCTAAATAATATGTAACGTTACACAATTTAATTCTTCGATTAGAAAAACTTCTCGCAAAGTAATTTTGGAACCAAGATCTAAAATAATTTTTGTGATACTTGTCGAATCGTTTTTCACTTACAATCTTCGAATCTTTTATTTCTACGTTTTTACAGATCTAGATCTTTTAATTAGCACAAATAATATAAACAAAATAATATTGATAGTAGTGGAAAAAAAAAAATTTTTACGAAACCACAGAAGAAATCGAAACGTTACACAAACTTCTTCGCTGATCATTGTCCTGCACACATAATCGTCGATAGTATAGAAACTCAGAATCAATCCAATACAGTCCGGATTGAAAGTGTTCACTATCGTGCGTTCACGTTCAACGAGAAAGAAGATGTTTAATATAATTTTACTCTTAATTTATTTCTTCCAATCTATTCAATGCGCGGGAAGAAAACTATTGATGATCGTAGAATATATCTTAAAAAATACTAATAAAATCTTTATTTGGTATCGCCAGTGTCGATTTATTATCGACTACGGAGAAGAAACGAACGCGATCGTATAATGCGTTTTAAAGAATAGCAATAAGCCGATAATTTTATCGTTTGTTTTTATATACAATATGTGTTATATAATATTTTCAACATTTATATGTTACATATTCGTAATTATATAACATTCCTATATTGTGTATAAGTAATGCATGATACATACTGCATCTCTTTATACTCGCTTTACATTTAACATGATAAAACGCATCATACGATCGTCAATCGCTATCATACCGCAGTACGCGATACTTCATCTTTTACGATAAAAAAACTTGTTTTGTTCTCATAATCAAGTAACAAATGTACAATCCGATTCGGCCTTCCTTCAAGGATTCTCATCATCGATACTTGAGTTCTATATTTCCTCACCTCTTTCGAGGCACACCACCAATGTGTCACCTTCGCTAAACGCCTGACGTAAGATTCGAGGTCATCAGGACCCAGGAGGGGGGAGGTGGGGTACAAAATGAAAGAGTATTCAGTCTGTGTCGATCACATCCATATTTTCCGCTGATCCTTTTCGCTGTCGCAGTTTCCGGCGCAGCAGGACTGTTTTCAGGATGCTGGACGACCGTGAACCCGCGACTTCCGGCCGCGGGTAATTCTGCTACGCCGCTTTGTGCCTCTTTCTCTGCTCTCTCCTCGCCGCGTTCGAGCCGGGGCTACCCGAAGTACCGCCCTTCTCGCAATCCGCCGTCGGCACGGGTTTCAGTTCTCTGCAAAAGGATCACGCGTTGAAGGATCCCCATCGAACACTTCGCGAAAGTACTGAGCGACGACGAGGGATGTCGATTACGTTGCGAAAGCGATACGAAGCGTTTCTCTGATGAAATAATTATTTATGATGACAAATGTCGCTGCGCTACAAAAGGAAATCATACTTTTACTGGACAATTTATTACGTTTGTATCTGTGAAGCTCCCTTTTTAGAATACAAAATCATACAACTTAACTAGACATACTATGTTCAATGTCATAAAATCGAAAGCACAGTTCCAAACCGCATATTATACTTGAGTTTCCCGAAACATTTGCACGGACGTTTTACATCTATAAGCGAAAAAATTCGGTGAGATAATGTTACACGCGCTAGCTTAGACATGACAAACTAATTAATTAATCGCTTACCTATAATTAAGCAGTTCTTCGTCGTCAGGCACTCTGGATATAAGATCTAGGACCTCGTTGTTGGGCACGGAGTGAGGCCTGAAGATCTTTCGAGAGAACTTATTGACTCCCCAGGCGAGGATCAGATACCGGATGGGAATAAAATAGAGCACGACCGCCCCGCCGATCGCCAGAAGCATCGCCAGGTAGCTCAGATAGGGGATCGTGAAGTTGAAGAGATTCTTCACCCTCTCGCACAGACTGGCTATGTAGCCGATCGAGTTCTGAACTGTTTGCGTCACCTCTTGGATCGCCTGCAAACGCTCCTTCAGACTCTTCTTCTCCTCCTGAAAAATTATTGCGACGTATCAGACGAAACTTCCTTTGTCCGTCGGACGTTGTCTTACATATTTGAAGACCACATTAATATTTCATATCCGCAAAACTGGATGCTTGAACTTGTGCATTAGCTGAGTGGATTTTATGCGGATGGAAAATCTATTTATGCGAACGCGATGCAAAAACATCATTAAATTTACAACAACGGAAGCGCGCTGTTGCAAAGATCTTTATTACAATACCATTGTGATTCGGAACGGAACGAGATGAATAGAATATTTGGCGGTGTTTAATTTTTAAACAAACAGCTTATTATTAACTAGCGCGAGGAAGACCAATCTGCGTTGATTAATTAGTCCAGGAAGGTTATAATTTTGATTAAAACACAGTGCGCGATACGCAAGTGAGAATTTGTTACATTAAATTAATTAAAAAATTCTTTTTTCTTGGAAGCTATTTGACAAAAATAAGAATAAAATAATTTTCTATTTTATTTCGTTTCTTTTTTTCACAAGAAGTCAGTTTCACGATTTTTTAGAAATGCAAAGACACTCACTTTATCCTTGTCATCCTCGTCGTCGTCGTCGTCCCCTGGCGTCGGTGGACAATCGTCAGACCCGATTTCAGAGTGATCTTGAAACTGCGAACTTGCGTAAATCAATGGTGCGCCCGTCACCACAGCGACCTGTCCGCAAATCCAATGATTGAACCCGCTCCTCTCGCCGCTAAGCTGACAGGTAGCAAAGAAATTCGACATGCAGCATCGCCAGTAAAAAAACGAAGCGGACGTACTTGCACTTATGCAGGAATGGGCCGTTCTTTTAAATATACAGGATACACATAGCTCTGTTTACATTATTCCGTTTACAAGACAAATCGAGGAATAATTTAAATAATAGTTGATCCCAGCATTCTGTTCATGCCAATTTAAATATAATAATTCTAAGTTTCGCTATTAACATTCTAAATTTTATAAATTAATTCAATCTTTAATTTCTAAGATTTTCGTGCAACACAGGAAAACAAATTTGCTTTTTTTACATGTAGATGTATTCATTTGAATTTAAATTAAATGTTTAATATCAAATGCATACAGAATACGAACAGTAGAATTGAGTACCGCGGACATGCGCGATTTATTATTAACAAATTAATAATTAATTCTTTTCATTATAAAAAGCAACTTTGGAAATATTTATATGGGATATCTTACACATACAAAAATTCAAATAAAACTGATTAAATAGCGTGTGAATATTTAGAAAGCGTATGTTCCATTCATTGGATGATGCTAACAATCATCTGTACATACTTATAGTCGATGGGTCTGCGGGAGGTAATAGAGAGAGTGAAGAGAGAGAATAAAGGCTAAAGAATATCAAAAATAGATTTTTAGTTCAATCGCATCAAGCGCTTCAGCATAGCTATTAATGGGAGAAATCCAAAATGTCGTGCTAAGAACGAATCGAATTTTAATCCCTTGCACTGTAGAAAGTACGAAAACTTTAGATTTGGCAGTCCAAAAGATATAACGTGCAAAGAAAATATGTGATATAATTTTAAAGTAAAATCTTAATTAATGGAACAAGAATATCACTTAATTTTACGTACATATAAAAGATAGTTTACGAGACGCAGGATTAAAATTCCGAAAAAGTCAATAACAAAACGTGACGTACCAGGTAATACTTCAGAAGAATCAATAACGCCACACCCGGTATCATATATGGTTCGAAGTAGTAACACCCCAAAATAAAAAAGACTAGAGCAAGAATGCTCCTCATCTTGTTCTCCCATTCCCAGCAACTCCTAATCGCAGGGAAAAAGCGAGAGATAGTGTCGTGATAAGATTAACAGCGGCCAAGATCTATTAATCTACATTAATCTGAGAATTTTTTTTAGACTATAGACATGATATTTTAAAATATTTTTAGTAAGTTATACATTTTTATATCATTGAGCACTTATATTTTACTGTCAAATAAAAAAAATTAAATTTATTCAAATTTGCAAATTTATCTTTACATATCGAAAAAAAAAAATGTTGCATCGTTTAATTATATTGAAAAAAAAATTAAAGAGTCACTCACTGTATATATTTTCCTATGTCGATGAATATAACGATGATAGCTTTGAGTCTCATGACGTTTCGTAGAAAGACTTGTCTTTTGAACTTCACTTCCGGCTCCATATACTTCTTCTCTTTCGGATTGAGCGTTCTGACGCATGCTCTGAAGATGTTCCACACGACGGTCAATTCCAAAAGGATTTGGGCACAGTTGCCCTTCGCGCGGCCCCTCAATTTCTTGTCTTTCAACGCGTACCATCGTTTCTCTCCGTTACGAATTTTTAATAACGGTATCGCTACTTTTCCGAGGAACTCTACCTTGTGATCTCGATCTTCGTCGTAGACTGTTACCTCCAGAACGGCGTTGATGTCTTTTACATTGCTGTTGAAAGAATAATAAGATTTATTCTCGATTACGCTTGAACAATGCGAGCTTGATCGCATCCTTTTATACAGAATATTGTGTGGCAAAATTACCTTAAAAATTCCTAACTCAAATTATAAGTTTAATGTAAAATGTAACTTACAAAGTGAAAATTTTCTGCCAATTGGGCGCGAGAGTTTTATATTCCGTCTGCGTTTGTAATCTAGAATTAACGAGCTCTAGAACGCAGAAAGGGTCGCTTTTACCGCCGAGGTCAGCAGCAGCGAGACCTTGCGCACGATATACCTGCAAAGGGATACAAGCTGATTTAGAAACAAACACGAGTAAAATCGGTAAAAATATCGGAAAATAAGAGTTTTCGAATTTATACTTGGAATAACAACAGCTTGGAAGTCTCCGATTGAAAAAGACGCCTTATTTCCTAATTATATTAATTACATTGATTCGCCAATTATACTCAATTATCATCATTGCTACTTGATACTCAACGCTCTAAGAAAATTAACACTCCAGTTAGCACATTAGCGATTAATGCTAATCGCTCCGACTTACCTTCACCGTCAGGTGACCTACGTCGCGCACCCTCTGCAAAGTGTTCCCGATCGAATACCGCTGGATTAATTGAGCACGCTCCATCGGCGTTTCCTCGTGCGCGGCCAGATCGCTGATCGTCTCGCTGGCCGTGGTGCCGCTTATCGTCAGCAGTAAAAAAATACTGCCCGAACCGTCCTCGAGTTCGCGCCATAACCGATGCGTGGTCTCCCGCTCGAGGGTCGCCAGATCGATCAGCGTCCTGCCCATTATATCGTCCTGATGACTCCTGTCCCGGTCCCACACCGTCACCTCCAACTCTTGACCTAGACACGGGTCCTCGTAGAGATGGAGATCAAACTGCTCCAGCCAAACTGGATTCAACGTCTTGTTAACCACTTTCGACTTGTACTTCTCCGTGCCGAGCCTGCAAATTAGGACGCGGGTTTCTCGTTTTTATAGCGGAACTTCTGTGCTGTGTTTTTGACCAACTGCGGCCTAGATCGATAATATTTCTGAAACTTTAATCAATTGAATTTTACCGTAATGTCAAGAGCAGAAGAATTTTCACGCTAATCTACGGTAAAGACGAGATACAGCAAGGTCGAGATATAGTAGCGTTAGTAAACAAATTAATATCAATGATACAATTGTGCAAGCGTACGCTAGCTAGAATAAAATGATGAATTAATGCGAGAAGTGAAAAATAAATTAACGAAACACTCACTTGCCGGAATAAAAAGTTATTTCTACAAAAATAAATAAATCTTCTTAAAACTGTAGTAGAAATATACCTACTTAAAGAACTATAAAAATTTTCAATGCTAAAAAAATTTACATTAATTCGCTAAATAATTAGGACAGTCAAGTTACGTGTTCCATTCACCGTGCTATCAGATTTACGTACCGAAATTTCACGTAGGGATCCGACAGACCATCTATATCCATCGGCAATAAATTTTTTGCCTCCACGAGCACAATCGTCACCACCGAACTCCATATCTGCGATTTCAATCGTCTATTCACGTCCGCCAATCGATTGGTCTTCTGGAAATACTGCAACGTGGAAAAATGGGACGTTAAATAAAATTATCGTAACCCGGGCTAATGAAGAATTTATATGCAATTTATATGTATGATACGTAATGTGCGATATTGGAAATCGGAAACAATAAGTACGACTGCGCGCGGGATGCTGCAATTATTCAATACACTCTCTATTGGAAAAAACGTTCGTACGATAGGAAAAAAAAAAAAACCGAAAAATATTAGTTTTCTATCAAATCGACACTCTGAATCGACACTTTTATCAATATCCTAATACATTTGGCAATCGCCTTTCAAGTGTTTCATTCGGAACAAAATCTATATTAGATCTTTTATAATTATCCGTGATTTTAATTCATAAACAGGAACAATGTATTCTCATCCTGTATGATCATCTACCCTGCAAATATCCTCCATTTTCTCCTTGACGTTGTCTTTCAGCTTGTCCAAAAGATCATGACGTTTGACCTCCTTTACTTCCAAAACGTTAGAGGGATCGATTAGCACGTTGGAGTTTTCCATTCCGTCGTCGGCGCGCGACGTAACGGCATCCTGCTTCTTCGGCTGCGCGATCAAGTTCGCCGGCTCGAATCGATTCGACTTCGAAGAACCAGCCCGATCCCGCAGCCTCCGCAGGTTTTCGATCACCCTGCTCTCGATCTTCGACTCGTCGAGTCCCGCCCCACGATTTTCCATCGCTCCGCTCTCGATCGTCGGCTCCTCGTCCTCTCCCGTCGCCGACGTGTATTTAAAATCGTACGTGGGTTCCTTCGTCGCGACAATGTCCTGCTCGACATCCTGTTGACGATGCGCCAAGGTGTAGCTGGAGGATGATTTGCGATCGGCGATCCACGTGTCGATCGGCTGCAGCCAGGGATGTTTCTCCAAGCTCTCCTCCCAGATCCGCTCCACGTGATTCTCCAGCACTTTCTCCACTTTTCGCTCGAGAGAGCTCCTCAAGAAATTCTTCGCCTTCCTCTTTTTAGCTCTGTACTTGTCTTCGGCGGACGACCCTTCAGCCACTTGCGCCTTCCAAACACTCATCATCTCCGGTGCCACCGGATCCACCTTCAATTTTTCACTCTCGACGGCGCTCGGTGAACTTCCTTCCTGTTGAGTTTCGGAAATTGTCCGGGCGAACGGTTCTTCGGTCGCATTCGCGGATTGCTCGATCGCGGACGCTAGTTGGTTCGTCGATTTCTCATTCACGGCAGAGCTCGAATTTTCTTCAGAAATATTGTCGAAGGAGCTGCCGTCCAACGCCGAGTCGATATTCTCGTCGGAATCGCTTTCCATCTCAGCAATGTCTTTCTCGAGTTTTAGTTTTGATACTGTTCGATTGGTTATTGATGTCGCGACAGGACGGTCTCCCCTTCGATCGACACATGGTTTCCGGTGCAATCTTCGAGGAAGCGCTTTAATATCGGATGATTTATCGATAGACGTTCCATCTATCTTATTAGATACAACATCCGTATTAGACACTGTGTGCTGCTCAGACGTGACGTCGGCTTTAAACGCGTCGGCCACGGAATTTTCCCGCGCGGCGTCTGCTTCGGACGCGATAGCGATCTCGGACGTGAGATCAATTTCCGCCTCGACCTCGGGTTTGACATTAAGTTTGCTCGCCAGTTCGAGCGAGAGATCTTTTTCGGCGGCATTGTTCATTTTGAACATTTGCGATCGCGACTTCGATTTTCCTATTTCTTCTATCGATTGTTATTTTTTTTTTTTTACGTGACGTCAATTTTGTTGAAAGTAAATCGAGCGATTGAAGGAATTCAACGATGCAACATTTTCGAGCAAACGATATGAGCGGTGTTCAAACTTGAAATTTTAAAATCTGCAAATACATCCGGCAAATTGGAAGTGTTATCCTAAATGTGTCAAGAGAGAGAAAGACATCTGCGCAACGTGCTATTTTCGTCGATATTCTGCTTGCAAGCTCCTTAAACCAAGGCCATCGCGAACTCGCTATCATCTTTCGTCTGATCGACTTGCATTCTCCGTTGTTAATGGACTCGCGTCACGAGGAAACCAGATGTTGGAAATACGGTTCTCTGTTCTTCGTCTTTCATTCGCGGACACTGTCATTTAGCTCGTCGCGATACTTAATAAATGCGCAGAAGCATATTTATGCATAAAAAAAAAATAGTTAGTCATAGAGTGAATCGCAAAATATTCCACAGATCGACGAATCACACTTGAATGCGATGACTCGGCGTGAAAAGTGTAGAAAAATACTATAATTTTTATCAATATTTTGTTCAATATTCATCTGAAAAATGCTTGTTATTTCAAACTTCACTTTGCACACATCAACAAGCTCTTGAAATAAAATTAACGACCAGCTCTCGAAATAATAAATACTCTTTTTTTTTTTTTTATTTCGATGCATTAAAATTCACTTTTTCTTCTTGACGTAATTGACTTTTTATATATTAAAGCTCATTTTTTTTATAGTTAATATATTAACGTTAGCACAACTGGAACGCACAAAAGCGTGAATGTTCGGAGGAAGACGTTTTACTTCTATTCTACTCGCGAAAAGCCAATGTAAATATAAGACGGTCACTTCCTTCCTTATCGCATTGTTCGATATCGGCAATTAGCGCCGGTGAGTCACGGAGCGAAAACACAAGTAGATAGAGCTCGATACACGTACACGTGGCCAATCAGGGAATCTCATCGCGAACTCGTCAAACCTGTTACTAACGCACAATTGTAATTTGTCTTCGATATCACACCGTTGAATCGGCGCTACACTGATAAGCGGCTGTGCACTTATCGCGCTCGCAAGCGAGCTGGCAGACGTGACGCGAAATGTACGACTGACCAACTAGGCTTCTTTTCCCTCTCCATTCAGAACAGGAAACCAACGTGCGCCCGATCAACATTGAGACATTGTGTATACACAGTACTGTAATCACGCAGCGCGATGTAGGTGCTCGCAATTTGTAAGAGAAAGAGAGACAGAAAGAGATATGATGAAACACGGAGATTGCGTAATTTTCGCATCACGCAATGTGAAATTTTTACGCGGAAGCACAAAAGTAATTCATCTAATAGCAAAAAGCAGTCTATATGTTTTTTAAAATGTTTAAACAATTTTTAATATTGACATTAAAATTAAACAAGTTCGTAAAAAAAAAATATATATATATATATAGAGAAATTTGATAATAAAATCAAACGCTTTTTTACACTCGAACAATCGTTCATATTACGGTATCGTATATGAAAAAAAATTGCTTCGAATTATAGTGTCGGATTATGATCGGCTGCTATGTCCGCTGTGAAACATGAGAGTGTATCACGCGTAACGCATGGATCAATCGACACTTACAAATCGACTTCGTACGTATACAAAGTCTTTCGCGCTTAGCAAACCATATTTCACTGGTAAATTCTTCAATTTTCCCGGAGACAGTATTTTCTTAATAAAAGTGTCAAAACAGAGTCATCATTCAACGCAAGTTGTCGCAATTCTTATTTACTTCTATATCTTGCCTTTTTACTTGATTAATGTTTCAAGAAGAAAAAAGTTTAATGATATAATAAAATCAGCCTTTAATAAGAAAAGTTGAATGTTGAAACAAATGTAGACGAAATTTCTCCCGACACGCGAATAATAGTTCTAAGGATAAACAAATTATAAATTAAAGGGTGAGTCCAGGTGGTGGCTTGTACAGCTGCAAAGCCCAGGGTGGCCGAAGCGTAAACATCTGAAGTATGCATCGCATTGCACCCGTAAGACCCAGGGATCTTACGCAAACCGGTATCAATTCGTAAATTGGATTTAACGCGCGACGCATAACGTAATACCCAAGTTCCCACTTAATTATTTCTCGCAGCGTGGCGAGATGGCGTTTAATAATAGTTAACACGTAAGTGGAGCTCCCGTGATAAGAGCCACCACCAATACGGGCCAGGCCTTGCACTCCACTTTCAACGACAAGCAACGGCAAGTCGATACCGTAATACGGACGCGGGCGCGTTACTTCCCTCACAACCCAGTTTCCCGATTCTTCATACACACGCTATAAATATACGCATCGCGCATCTATTCTTCTGCTAAGACCGAGAACGATCGACGCCGCGATCGCACTTACTGTCAGTTTATCACCCCTGCTTAACCCTTTATAGAGCTACGGTTGATATCAATATCAGCATGCTATTTTCGAAGATTTATTGGCATTGTGTATATATGGTCAGCTGGTCAATTGTCGCATTATAAAGAAGTTCAAACAAAACTGGAGAAGAATAAATTCGGATTGGAGACGAAAAATACCTGCTCTTTTTCCTGTTGATTCCTCGGCCAAAGCGTAGCCGTCAGATAAATTTCGCCTAAATGTTGCTTCGGTCGAGCCGGGTCTTTAAGTTCCAATATTATATCTTGAGAATGCCCAAGGTCGAGTTGCGTAAGGTCCAACTGAGCAGCTCCCATAAAATCATCCTGCAGGCCCCAATCGTAATCGAAAACCTGTTAATATGCAAAAGATATTTTGATAATTGTTAGTATAATTTTTTACAAATTCTACAATATTTTCTGCTTGATAAAATTAGAGTAAGCTATTTTAACATCTTTACACTTGTTAAATAAATACAGAGCAATATTGTTATAAAAATTTCTGCATTTATACAGACTTATTGTTGTTATATCGAACTTTTAGCATCATATAATGTATCTCTACATTCGAAATTTTGATATAATCAAAAAATTGAAGATACCTTGATAGTAAGTTGCTGAAAAGGATCTTCTATAGGTAAGGTCACGCTTTCATCCCAAACCGGATTTAGATCACGATGAACGGTTCGCGATTTATGCAATAACCGTCCTGAACATTTCACCTTTACGTAAGGATCGCTGGCGCCTAAGAAGACAAAGCACCACACGGACCGTAAAATTTTATGTTATGCGTTGATAAATATAAGATTATTTTATTTTTATAAATAAAGGTCTCGGCGTTTTCATTTCATTTATCAGCAGAAAAGCCGACATGTTCAAATAAACTTCAAACAAGGCATTAAACCACAATTTTTCATGACGTGTAACACGCATCGGTGCTACCCTTTTTCGCATTGTCTTATTGAGTAACATAAATTCTGTACTCCGCACGGATATCTTTTCTTCTAATAAAAATATGAAAATAGTTAAAATTCCGTCTCACCGCATCTGTCCATCGCGACGAGATTCGCGCCTCTTCTTATATGCAAACGAAGCTGAAAGAAGGCATGCTGCCTCAACGCCAGTTCTCTCTTTCGCGTCGTTTCGTCGTGTAGAAACTCGCCGCCATCCTGACTGACGGATCCCTCGCTCGGATGTCCATCCTTCTGAAAGCTTACAGATCCCTTGGGGAATCCCTCGCCGCATCTTCCGGCGTTGTCCTCTTGCACGTTTTTCTCTCGGCCGCCGCGTGCCAACGGAGATTCTGCGCATTCAGATGTGCTCAAACACCTTATTTTATCATTTCTGGCATTCGCTGTGGATCACAATATTCACGATTTTTGCCATAAACGCGATTATCCCTAATTAAGAATGTCCGACAATAAACTTGTCTGTCAAATTAAAATTGATTTATAAATTTGTAAATATTATAAATATTTTTAACATAAAAGTTTATCGTAAAGTAACTTTACAAATTTTTCAGGAATTCAAATAAGAGGTGTTTTTCTTTATCATTGTTACATCTCATACTGTTCAATTAATTATGTTGATTTCAATCTCGAAGCACTGGCGCGAAGTATCAAGACGATGGTCTAAATATTTTCATAAGAAACTTCGTGGAAATAAGAAAGCAACTAGGTGAACGAAGCACAATTACGTATTCATTGGAAATACAATTTTGAAGAACCACGTGCTGATACTTGCATTACAAAATAAGCGCATGGGAAATCTTTCAGTTTAATCTGTCTAATTACAGCGGAGCACGCCAGCAGGCGTGCACTCGTGCTGGAGTATTTTGGATCAATTGCTATAATGAGGTCTAAACGTGCCGTGCATATCGACTTTCGGGCATTACGTTGCACAAATTGCACATACGATCTTCCTATCCCGCATGCTCTCCAGATAAATCCATCCCATCGACACACAATAGTTGCTTAATGGAAGCCAGCGCTGAGCGTTGCTCGCATAAATAATTATTCACGCGTGAAATTGTAAAATTATTGTCGATTAAATTGAATTATTATACTTGTTTTCTTGTAGTTTTGTCAGCAAATAGCTGTTATTTTATCCGATACATATTTATCGTCTTTGACGATAATTAATCTTATTTGTCGAAGCATGCGCATTTGAATACATTTGTATTCTAATGTCCCGCTTAGAATGTTAACTTTTGCAAAAAGAATTAATTAGCGTCGAGTGGCAGTTCATAAATTTAATTAATTTACTTGAAAATACAGACACTTGCTATTGTTCAAATAAATAAAGTATTCGTTCTTCGATACTATAAATTGCATCTATTTGACCCAGACACCAATTCGAAAGGTTATTCCTTTTAGCTCTTTAATAATCGTCTGCATTAAATCAGTGTTTTTCAACTTTTGCCATTCCAAGCAACTTTGAATAAAAAAGTTGCATAAAAGGCTTCTGATGAACCATTTTATAAAGAAATCAATCATCATTTGTGCATTATTTCAGATACAAATATTTTGTAAGAAAGATTTAGCTTCTTTCAAAACATGTAAAGCGCTCGAGATCTCACGAAGCACTAATGTTTCGTCAAACACAGGTTGAAAAGCACTGCTGCAAATAATGCGAAGGCGCTACTTAGTGCTTCATTGCGTCGTCTGAGCGAGTGACAGCACTGATCCAATTCTGTGTATCTCCAATGCTGCAGATTGGACGTGTCATAATACTACGCCTATACAATTGCAATGTCACGATGATCACGAACTTTTCCACTACACATATGTGCAGATTGTGTGAAGTAAATCTCGGAAATTTTCCGTCGTCAACACAATTTTACTTCACATTTTAAACGTTAAAAAACAACGTTTAAATACATATTTTCATATTCTGAATCGCTCCTTCCACTTAATAAGTAGCAGATTTTCTTAATGTTGCAATTTTTTTTAATCAGTTTAATCTTTGCATTAATTTCGAGCTATCGTTTCATAAGTTTTTATCTTCTCGATTTAGTTGAATGATATGGAAATAAGATATATCGGTTTGAAGTTTACGTTCTATTTAAAAGTCAAATCTCACACATACACACTATGCACCGATCGTTGAAACGTGTGGTGTGTAGATATCGGATATAGCAGAAACTTTGCAACCAGGTCATCAGCGCACATGCAGATTTTACTGCTCTTTAACCGTTTGCTCCTTTTCCACACATCATGTGTTTTATTATAATAGTTACGATATATTTCCGTAATATAGTATATAAAAGAAAGGGCTCTAAATTAAACGAAACTGATGTAATTAAAGAATTATATAATTTAGAGCGTAGAAAAAAGAAACAAACGATAAAAACACACCGAATCTGTTTTGAATACGGAATCTGTTTGTCCAAATTTGGCACGGACAAATAAATCAATCGAGGGAAAATAGTTCATATAGTTTACCTGGATGATTAAGGCAGTGCCTGGCCGGGCTCTGCGTGGCCGAGGAACTTCTGCTATGCTCGGAGGAGTAATCGGCGGTATAATCCGACTCGACGCCGGGATTCTTGAACTGGCCCGCGTCCTGCGACTGCACGCTGCCGGCATCCTTGGACTTTTTCCGCTCCTTGCTCCTGCTCCGCGCCCAGCGACTCTTCAGAGTCGCGAAGAAGGTGTGAGTGCGCTGCGCGACCGACACCGTGCCGTGCCGATGATGCCGATGATGATGGACAACGCCGGAGTCGCCCGATCCATCGCCTCGCCTCGACGGCGAGCTGTTCGCGATATCGCTATCCCGGAGCTCCGTGGCGCTTTTCGAGAGCTGACGGCTCCCGTTCAAGTTCAGTCTGGATCTCTCTTGGGCGCTTGCGTTACCTGCAAATCGAAACACGAGTCTCGATTGAGATAGTTCCGGTGTTGTCGCGCGAAGAAAAAAAATTGTGGCACACTTCGTCAGTTTTCTCAACGTTGCCGAATTTATTCAAAATTTTATTTAATTTTATTTATTTCATATTTATTTATTCAAAATAGTTTTACTCGATTTTGTTTGTAAAGTTTTATAAAATATAAATAAATAAGTTTGAAAACACGGCTAATCAAAACAATAGTAAACTAATTGTATAAGCACACCTTAGCTACTTAGTAATTTGATTCAACGCGCACGCAACAGACACGCCTCGTTTCAATAAACTCTAATGGGACATACAAGTATACTTGCACAACTCTGTAAACGTTTAAACCGTTTGCATTTTTCCGATTAACCGCAGTTATTTGATTGCTTGTGTTTAATTAAAAAAAAAAATGCTTTCAAAGCACTCAGCGCGTAGAAAATGAAGATTGTCTGTTATAATGCTACAACAAAATTTTCTTTATGCACCTCTCACACGTTTCTTGCACTTCGCAATAGTCTGCATACTTTGACAGAAATTTTCAAAGCCAAGTCTCGCTAAATATTTTGAGATAACAATAAAGCGAATGATAGTTTTGTTGCCAGCCAAACGCCAGACGCCAACAATGCACGTAACATTTTTGGCAGCAAAAGCTGCGATTTTGTGATTTTCTGTCGAATGTACAGGTGTCGAATATGATCCGAAAATATTCGTTGCCGATAGCGATACGCGCTACACATCCAATAGGTTGAATTTTACATCAGGCTTTTACCCGATGAACTCAATGTTGTAATACAATATTGCTTCTTTTCATGCTATTCTAGTAGTTAGATATTTTAAGACATCGACATATATGTCAAGCGTACACGCGACTTAATTCATTAAAACATTTTAAGACGGTATTTAACCTTTCCATGTCTCTTGGCAAAGGCTGTCTACAACACATTTCGGTATTCTCATATTGAGATAAATAATGAGGCAGAAGCACTTGTTTTTAATATAACCATTTAAATTTTTAAGCCGATGTGCCGCCATAAAAAAGTTATTATAGTATCCAAGTTTATATTTTGAAATTAATTCTCATCTTGCATTTAATTATTTCGCAAAAATATTTTTCAAAAACTAAAAGCTTCGGTTGCATTAAAATATTAATTATTAATTATGTATTCGTGTATACTTTTAAAGGCAAGACTATCTACAATGTATATTAATGCGAAAGAAATTTCTCTCGCCAATTCACGGTCTCATAATTCCCAACTGATGTTACCGATAACGCGATATTTCAAGTACGCAATTTCAGCGTGTAGAAAGAAAAGGGAGGAAACGAGAAAATAAAGCCGCTTCTCGACAGATCGGCCACTTATTTCTCACCCTCGGTCGAAAGCACGTAACGGGGTGAACTTGGACTCTGAATGGATACAAGTAAAATACATGTGCTTCTGGAAGAATGACAAGAAAAGTACATTATACCAGGTACTCATATGTCGTGTAAGCATATTGATCCGTCTGTATTATTAAACGTAGCAATATGCGTGTATATGTCTTTAACAGCCTTCGCATGCTTTCCGCTATATTCCAGAAGTGACGATGAGTAATCAATATAAATTTCCGTCTTTTATAATAACTACGTAATTTAATATTTATTCCTCAATGGGTTTCTGTCATGTCAGAAACATTAAATGTTGTAATTATTACATCTCAAGTGACTTGCTCTTGTTATTCGGATTTGAACGGGAAAATTATTGCATCAGTAATTCATTTAATTAATACGTTATAACGTCTTGATATACGGAACATTGCGCAATTCGTGATCTTAATTTAAATGAAAGATTGACAAACGTAGAAACTACATTTTGCTAAAAAAAAATACGCGTGAACAGTGAGCGTAATCGCACGCACTGATGTCCGGAAATTTACTGGGCAAATGCACTTGACGTTTATTGGATTTTGTCTCCCCCTTTCGCCGGAAGTAATCTTAACACGCTAAAGTATCGCGGAAATCAATCTGGCATTTCAGTCACCTAGCTGGAATATATTGCACTTTACTCGATACGAAGAGACGGACAAGGAATTCGATAGTCGTCGTTTTATCGAACACTAAGTCTCAAATTGTAACGTGCAATTTGATGATCGTACGAGATTTTATATTTCAAATATTGCTAATAAATTCTATCCATATAGAAACAGAGAAATGCTAAAAGCATTTAATTTTTATCATAAAAACAATCATAAAAATTTCTGATGGCATTATTCTACATAAAACGCCTTGCTTTTTACTTTTCTCTTAATTACAAACTACACTTTTTATGCCATTAAGTCTAAGAGATTCCATAAATATGGTAAAAATTTTCAAAAATATAATTTTCACGTAAGAGTGCAATTTTATATGATAAACACAAAACAATGACACATTATCCTTGCTAATTAGTTTCGTCACAAAGAAAGTTCGTCTGGGTCTCAGATTATAAGATAATTCTAGGTAATTCCAGGCAAGAATATGCACTGATTTATGGTCGGGATAACGTTGGAACATCACTCACCCGCAAGTGTTGACTCACTGTCCTCCGCTCCAGCGAGTAACTCCACACTCTTGCTCATCTTATCCTCCGAAAACACGAATTAATTCTCGAGACCGTTGCTTGCGAAGCTTTAGTCTCTTCTTGAAGTGCACCAGTCCGCCGCATTCCGATAGCATGGTTCCGCCGATGGATTAATGAGCCCCAACAGCATCGACCGACCGGCACATATTCCGACTGCGCGATGCCCACGTGGTCCTCGGCGACTTCTGCAGCATCATAATCAGCGTGTTCTTTTCCTTACTTCGCAAATTGATCGGGCTCGATGGCCCTATAGCGTGCGTTTTAGTGCAAAATTAATGTTGATCTCCGACAATTGCGCTCTCCGCTCTCCATTGTTTACGCGCCGGGCGCTAAAGAGCTTTCTAGCGTTAACTGCTGTATTGTTGTAGGACGTAAGGAAAGCATATATGGATATTCTGTTTCGAATACGAAGTGGATGACCTAGATTGAACGAGTTATTTCGAGCGATAAATGCTAGACAAAATATAAGATGAGTATAAATATTAGAAGATTAATAGTCGCGTTTTTTTAAGCTACATGGTAACGATCTTAAAATAACAGTTAAATAATGATCACAAATTTATCGTACATACAACATCATAAATTCTGTGAATTCTTTGTATTAAAAACAAAAGATATTTTATTTAATAACATAAATTAGTAAAAAATATAATGCCAAAAATAATCAATTTTGTTATTTATTCCAGCGGTCTCTAATTTCGCAACGCAACGGCTCGTTCGTTATCCCTCGGCATCTCGGTTTGAAATTGTTATTCATAAACAAATACCTCTTGTTTATTAACCAAATACCACCGTCTGTTGCATATAGACAATGAAACTACTGCTGTTTGCCTTTGGCTTGCAATTGTATTTTGCGATTATAATTAAACTCGATACATGACAATTACGTCTGGCAGGAATTTTCGCTCTGTCTGACGATATGTCCATCGGTTATAAAATCCAATTAGCGCGTAATTTCGGGGAAACCCAGCTTTAGAAAGGATAATAATGCGATTGAGGATATTGTGACAGATTCCTCGTACGATAGAGAATATTGTACGAGAGATCAGAGGCTTTATGTACCAGTAATGCCATAACTTAGTCTGTCAGTTTTAATAACAGATTTCAGTTTCAATAACAGATCTAATAAAGTCGCGATCTCTTTCGTAAATTTCTTGCAATTAAACCACAAATAAAATAATAAAATTAAGTTTTTCTCAAAATAAAATCCTTTTAATTAAATCAAAAATCTAGATCTGAAAGCCAAGTCAAGATTGTGAAATCTTCAAATGTCTGTTTCACGTTAATATATAATTTTGAGACATAGACGCGACGTGAATGTCTTAAATAAGAAATACTTTTTCCCCATTTTCTCAGCAATAATTTTAGAGATTTTCCGCTGAGATTTTCTCCAGGGATTTTCCTCCGCGATTTTACAGAATAAAGCCATAAAATGTCAGAGGGTTGAAACGCATAAATCGATATACGATATCTTCGATGAGAAATACGGCACATTGTCGAATTGGCATAATCGCATTGATCGTCGGTACGCATCGCTAATTACGCTTTTCCACGCACAATTGCATGTTACCGATACGTTCACGTAGCACGCAGAATTCCTTAATTTCATAGTAGAAAATAAGAGCGGGCGGTAATTATTTCTGCAATTATGTCACGTAAAGAAGAAGGCGGTTTAATGTAGATTCGAAATAAGAAAAATCAATTTTTTTCATGAAATTCGCAGGAAGAAAAGCATATTTAATTTACAATGAAAAACATTGTCGCGAGATTTAATGTTGAAACATGCAATCTTGCTTCTATTCATTGCTTTCAATTCAGTGTTAAATTTGAAGAGACAAAAGTTTGTCGCGTAGCATTTTTTTTTTTCAATATCAGTTTCTATAGCTTTTTCAGACCCGATAGAATTGAAAACTCGGACAAATCAAACTCGACACCCGCTGAGTAAATTGGTTACTTAACAGAGAACACATGTTTCATTACGCTTCCTTCAGATTTGACTTTTGTTTGTTTGAGTTAGCCTGTTCAACTATGAAGTTACTCTCAAATGAGCTTGAGAAAAGCTTCATTAATAACTAAGGCGAAAATGAGAAGGCGTCAACTTTATCGATATATATTTCAAGAGTTTTAGAGTTAACAGATCGTTTTAGCAACTTCTATAAATTGCATTTGTGTCATCTGACGGTCGCGTAATTTTAGCTATTCCAAATAACAAAAGTGTATCTTAACTGTAGCCTCGACAAAAAAGATGTACTTATTACAATTTTAAGAAAATCCTCGAAATATCTTCAGCAATCATCAGATTGTCTTACAAACAAAATGTCATAGAATCATGATAGATGCTCTTTTCGCTATCGTGCTTTCATTCATTTGGCAACATTTTTCACGAGAGATTCCGTGATAGTCGGTCGCGTATTCAGTGTACGAGCTCCAATGTTCATTTTTCAAATCCTCACTCGTGTAAATATCGGAATGGATTATTTCGGTGGCGTGGCTACACGCAGGTGACCTTTACGCAGGCGATAAATTGCAGCACCGCTTGCCCGCTATCAGCCGCGGCTTGCCGATATTCGTATCCGTCCGGTGCACAATCTCCTCGTCAGATTCAACTTCCGCGAGAGTGAGCTCACATGACAAGGGGTTTAATAAGTTCCTTTGCGAAGGCCGAGTGCAAGCCAAGACGCGCGAAGAGAACGAATCTTCGCAGCCGGGATCGATAGCGTGTCCGATTGAAAAACTTTCGCAAACATCTACCGTACCGCATCAATACCGCTCACTGTTGATCTTTCAATGTTAACTTTTGCTGTTTGCTAATTACATTGTGGCAATTGGCGATACATAAAAATAATTTGAAATAAAAAAATAAGAGCTACCACTTATTAATTATTAACCCCATTATTAATTATAAATTATTAACACCATTATTAATTATAAATTACAATTTTTCTTCTTTTTTCGAGCGCTAACGCATATTTTAATGCTAAAGCAGAGTTTCTATCAAATATTCTAATGATGATGTTAAACATCAAAGGCTGTATCGCGTGCAAAAGAGTATCTCATTTATTTAAACGCGTTTGCATTAATGTTTGATGCGCCTCATCAACGATCCTGCAAAATACTATTAAAACGTCATTTTACTTTATAAAACTTGACAAAAATTTCACGTAAAATGTCACTGATATTTCGTGTCTGTATTTATGAATAAAAAAGGAGAGGAATTCGTCCGTTTTCGCGAACATATGTTTCGTCTAACCTCTCTACTCTACATTACGATCTCGTCTAAGTTTCAATTTTGTTCGCAGATCGTGCTCAACGTCGTGCCAAGAGAATTAAATATTCACATCTAACGAGGAATGTACTAACGTAAAATGGATCTGAATTTTGCGACGGCTCGCGCGGGACTGTCGTGAGACGCTGTTACTATTTTTATTCAAAATAAAAAGTCTCGGCGATAAAATGAATAATTCACAAATGTGCGCTAAAAGTTGAAGAAAACAATAAATCTAACAGAAATCACAGCAAAACTGTACAACATACGATTTACTAGTAAGTGAATCGAAAAGAACGTGACGCATGCTCGGCACTGTACCTTTAATTTTAATCCTCTTTTGAAAACTCCTACACAAGTCGTCGGCCAAAGTGTGGAAAAGCTCGGTACTATTCATAGAAGGTTCCTCACACACGTGCTTTCATTCACGAATTCTTAGAGCAAACGCGATAAATTGCGATAATTTTTTTAAAATAAAGGAGATTGATCGTTTCCAAGCTACAAGTGTTTGCAATTTCTTTCTGGAAATTTTGCATCAAGAATCTTTTCATAAATCGCTTTTTGACAATTATACGTTTAAAGTAAAAAACAGAGATTATGAAGAGATGATCAATGAAATTTTGCTTTAATAGAATTCTAATCTAAGAATATCGAAAATTACGGGAAAACGCGAACGTTCGAAAACACGACAATTAAAGTCTTGTTAATTTTCTCAAGTTCCGAAACTAAGAGACGAGATTCCATTATCTATCCGCGCTTCTTAATTCAAAAGAGCTTCTTCCTTTCAATCGTTCATAATTCTGAAGCTATGAATATCCCGATATCTTTTTTTAATAAAAGTTTTATGTGAGGTATCACCAATATCTCGCGCCAGTGCTTAAGGGTTGATTTCAGACTGATCAAAGAATCCGTAGACGCGAAGGAAAGCGGGAATACTTAGAAAACACTACGTAGAACGATCGTGGAGCTCGGATATAAAGAAATGTTAACGCGCAACGACAATCCACAGTTAAAGTCACAATTCTCAAGGCGCTCTTATTCACTAAACTGCGAATCGACTATCGCGAAAAATACATGACCTGTATCGTAGAGAGCACGAAAAAAGAGAGATACGAGAAGATCGAGCGGTATTGATAAACAGAGCGAATCAACGATGCGATCAACTCAGCTCTTGTTGTTGACTTTGACACTTCGCGATCCGTCGTGTCACGCTCGCGTCTCGTGTGCCGAGTCACACGCCGAGTGTGCCTGCTCGCAAGGGTGTCTCTCGACGAAACTGGGGAGGGAAAAGGGAACGCGCGAGCATCCGCGAATCCGCGAGAAAACTACGTTCTTCCGCGTTCGAGAAGGAGCGCGTTCAACAGAGAGAGGGAGAGAGAGAGCCGATCGAACGTCGTTTCGGTTTGACGTCTCGGCAATGTCGGCATGTGAATGTCGCGGGACGTCGATGTGTTCGGACGGGTTGCGTTTTCATCTTTCCCTCCCCTCCGCGAAATCGCTTTTTTTCCGCGCACACATTAACATACGCGGCGCGAGCGATGCGATAATCCGCGCGTTACACGATGATCAATTTACCGTGCGGGTCTCCGTGCGCGCGGCACAGCCTCGGGATCGCCGTGGAACGTTCCCCGCAGACGTTCTCCACTTTCGACGCTTCCGTGTCCGAGAGGCCACTGACAGAACTCCGCCAACGGCCGTTCCCCGTCCGCCCACCCCGCCGCGCCTCGCGCTCTCTCCTTCTCACTCCGGGCGCCAGGAAGCAGGCCGCGACGCGAAGAGGGTGCGCGATGTGGAAGCGGGAGAGAGTGAGAGGCTTTATCGACCCGCGACACAGGGCCGGTCGAGGAGGGAACCCGGTGACTTCGGTGAAATTGAGATTTTGTTTGAAGTATGGCAAAGGACGGATAATCTGTGACAAGAACGGAATTGACGAAGGGTTTGACTTTGGGACGGTGCGATAGAAAATAAAACAATATCTTAAAGTGGACGGATTTTACTGCAAGCATTGTTTTAGAATTTTTTATAAAAAAAAATCTTCATTTTCGACAGCAGAAAAATCACAGACTGATGCGCTAATATATAGATATTTTTATAATTGAATAAACAATAATGAATGTTCTTTTTTGTGTTTTTAAAAAATAAAAAAATTTTCAGTAATATATAAATTTTCCCAAATGATTTACATTTCTATAATTAATTTTGGTGATGCATCAATGACATTAGTAATCGACAGTGTTGAATATATATAATGTTTATCAGATATATTTAAAATAAAAATAAAATTTTGCTATGGTGTAATAAAATTTATTATTCACATTCCAATCTGTAAAAGTACTGTGAGATAGACTTTTGCTATCGAAATTTTGCGGTCTGCGATAAAATAAAGCAATTAAGAGTAATTAGCCGCGAAACCATGGCAACCTCTTTTGCGTCATGGCAAAGTGAAATTATTAGTTGCAATCTAATTTTCCTGAACTGATCCGATTATGTTGTGAGTTTGTACATTACCGTCACTGCAAATAATATTCCGAAATCAAACGCTGATATTACCAGCGCTGTACAAAGTGCGTGATGTTCCCGGCTTCTAACAACATGCCCTCCGGCCAACGGTGACGTGTTTTAATTAATGAAGACCACATTAAAATAATTGCCGCTAAAACCCACGTTTCCCACTGCGAGAGTCGCGAGGCTATTTCCACAATTACGAATTGACCCGGTTTCTTCGCAGATCCGTAATTCATGTCCCGCAATAAAACCTTAATACATTATAACGCAAAATTATATCGCAACATAACGACCAATTCTACAGTGAAGTGTTTACTACGTCTAAAATACATTTACTTCCGTTTATCTTAAGCTTCGCGATTTTGAGAGCGTATTTCTGCATTATAGCGCGTATGAAATTTAATTCTCTTGTTTTTATCATTTTTCATAAAAATAAAACCTCATTTATCACCGAGAAGTTTTCTACGCGTGTAGAAAAGCGATAAAAGAACTGTTGTGTCAATTGTAAGTGAATTAAAAAATTGATTTTATGGCATATATGTATACCGTAAGCTTAGAGATTAATGCCACGCTATTCTATCAACCATTATTAGCCATCTTCCTTTTATTATCAAAGTGTATTAAAAAAATAAGAAAAAGAAAATATTTCAGGATATTATGTCACATTAATTAATTCACTAAGTTGTGCTACAGAAAACATCTCGTATTTATGTAATATAAAATGCGTTTCACGTACATGTATATATCTGTCTCTATAGAAAATTATTTTAAAAACATATTTTTGAAATTCGAAATTAATATTCTGTCGACAGAAATTGTAAATCATGATTAAACTTTGTTTGTCAATCATAATTGCTTGACGTTGTTTTAATAGTATCACCTGAGACTTTGCCAGGAAATTCAATAATAAAAATTGGAAAGCTGATTTACTTCGACATTTTTGCGAAAGAAAAATTCACTTCAAATATGTTTCAAAACATTTTTTTTTAAATATTCTTCGTCGAGTTTTCCATATAATTGCGCACGTGTGATTACGTGAAATGTCCGGTTTGATTGACAGACATGTGATTTCGTGACTTTACACCGATATCAATTTTCACAGCTACATAACAACTCAAGATGATAAAAGTAATTTTGAACGATGCAGAAAATAAAAATAAAATAAAAATCGTGGTAACAATAGTCACTTAATATTTACAAATATAAAGCTTTTCTTCTTTCTCTCAGAAATAATATTTAAAGAACTTTAATAAAGAATTGTTATGTAATATTTAAATATCTAATAATTATTGCAATCAGCTGATGATTTCAATCAATTATAATTAATAATTAGTTGTCTTATTCTTTCATATTGTGAGACAAGATTGAACACTTCCGAAATTTTAAAGCTGATATTATTTACTATATATAAATAATAAATATAATTATTAGTAAATGTATTTACTAGTTTGTTTTAATAAAAATAATCTTAAAGTTTTAGCAATCTAAATATCAAGTTCTAGCAAGCGATTACTCTGCTGTCGACATCTGTTGAACATTAGTAGCTTCGCAGTTCTCTATAGAACTTACGACCAAAGTTAGGTAAAGCACGTGAAATGGAAGAAACATTTTGCCATATTATTTCATTTTTTTAATAAAAAGTTTGATTATATCAAAACTAAGTTTTGATCACATCATAATTCGCGTGTCCTCCACAAAAAAATTATACTTTATTTTTACTTTATCATATATAGTTAAGAATGAAATCTATAAAAGTAATATAACGTAGTTATAAGTATATGCATAAGTCACATATATAATTATTTTTTAATAAGAAAATATTTGTAATACAAATTATAAAATGTTTGAAATTATACTCATTACATAATGTGAGCAACCTAAAATTATCTTGACGAGAAAATAAACCAAATATTTAAATTTTGGTGGCCCTTTTACACAAAAATCTTAACTAAGTTAAATTTTCAAGGCCGTTAACTTTAACTTAACTTAGTTAAAAAAAAAAGCATTAACTTACCCAACTCTGCATCCATGGCAGTTACGGTCTTCCGTTTTGCATGTTCAGTATAACAGCGTTATGAATAATGTTTTCGAGAAATAATCAATGCGCGTTTCTTCATAAATTAAATCAGAAATACGTTTGACGCCGCCATGACGGGCAAGACGATAGATAATCATCCGATTTCATGATAAATTCTCTTCGCTCCTTTTCCTAATCCTTTTTCTCCTTTGCCACGACCAAGCTTGCCTTCAAATATCATAAAAATATTCATGATACTTCAACAAAATGAATAAGTTCCATTAAGTTTTCACCATCTGATACTTTCATACCTTGGCTGCACGACGATTTCTACCATAATGGTTCTAGTCAATCAAAGCCAATAGGCTTGTCACCTGACCTGCACGCTGCCAACCATTCAGGCGCGTTGTGCGATTTTAAAACAATATATTTGGCTGCGCTCGGGAAGCGCGCAACAGCGCTATTGCGTCATTCTATCTTTATCGTTCATTAGACAAAACAAGGATAGAATGACACAATAGCGCTGATAGCGCGCTTCCCGAACGCAGCCTTTGATTTCAGCATTGGCATTATATTACATGTAAAATATAACAAAAATTAATGGCTTATAATTTATTATTTGTTACTTTTTATATGTAATGTGCTTTATATATAATGCGATTATTTTATATTAACAATGCAATCACGATGCAATGCATGTTTGTAATTATTATAGTTCGTATATCCGAGTACCCGGGTAGACGGGTAATACCCAGAAGTAATCTGATATCTCGGGTATTACCTGAGGCCCTCAGGCTGACGGGGATCACCCGGTTTTAAATGACAGCACTAATACATACATACATTGTTCATGAGATTCTTCATGGCATACGCAACTGATATCTCATAGCGTTTTTGATTGAACGAATTTTGATCCACCGCGGATCAATTAATCACTATTTTACTATGAATTCAAGTCTTTCATTGGCGGAAACGTTGCAATGACGTCATTATACAACTTTGGATCGATCAAAATCCGTTCATTCGAAAACGCTACGAGATATTACTTTTCAATGACATGTATACGTATACGTATACGTATACACAGCGAAAGGATTAAACAATCTTCAAAATATTTTAATAATAAACTACGCACTAATTGTTTAACTATTTACTTAAGACCTATTTACTTAATCTTTACGAGAATTTTTTTATTTCTTTACGTTCCAACTTTAGTAGTCCGCTAGCTGGCATTAGCTGACACTAGCACGCGATCTAGCGGGAAAAGAATGTACTACATGCAACAAGTTTCATCAACTTTATCTAAAGTCCAATCTACAATGTGCTTTTTGATTTTTTTTCTGCCTTCTTGCCTTTGTGTAAAGGCATATTTCTCTTCGAAAATTCAGAAAGGAGAAATTGTAAATCACGGTGTTTCTTGACTCCACGCAACAAACACATAAAAAGCAGAAATACGAAAGGCAGGAAGCAAGAAACAATAAGCAAGAAGCACTTGTAGATCAGGCTTAAGGATTGTTGTCGTGACGGTGACGAGACCAGTGTGATAAAACTGCGGAGAAGTGTAGAGACGTGAAAGTACATGGCAAAGCAGGAATAAACGAGGAACCTTGCTGCTATACTGGAAAGTGAATATAAAAACAGAATTAAAATAATGTTGCATGTCACGTTGTGAACAGTGGTGCATAGATATTCGTAATAAAACGCGTCATTGTTTCTATCTGCATAACAAGGTGTGTATCGATAAGATAATAGTAATTGTGTTTTCTGTCACATTAATACAATTGAAGAGCCTTCAATTTTTTGTTTCTAGTAGGAGAAAACAAAAATCCAAATAATATTGTCGCAATATTTTTTTATATTATTCAGTGGCAGATGAAATTTATTAAATTTTACAAAATATTAAAAAACTTTTGAACTTGATAATTATAATAGGACAATCCTAATTTTTTGGTTTGATTTGCATTTTGCAACTTGTTAGATTGAAAGTTATGAATGAATAAATTAACAGCACTGCTGTAAAATAATACATTTTAATCATGCATGTATACATGAATGCTCTTTAACTAAATTGTCTGCACTTGATTAATTCAGAAACAATTAAAATAATATTACAGGTAATTTTAAAAAAGACTATCTGTGATCAATGTTTTTCTGAGAATTCTTTTATTGTACATATATGTAATTTGACTTGGAAAAATGTGTCTCAGTCATTTTGATGTCTAACACACATGTGTATATTTTTACAACTCAAATATATATAATATATTTTGCTCTACAGCTCTTTTTAACTTTTTAATAAAGCATTTTTTAATACATGGTCAAAGGAATTTTTTTCATTTACTTAATTTCTTCAATGTATTGTGAAAATATCATTGCATATTTTATGAATTTTTATACATAAATTTATACATGTATATATATTTTTTAATGCACATTTATAATTAAGAATATTATTTTGTCCACAGGTGTTACTAGCTATAAATGCATTACATCTCATACAACACATCCTATTTTAATTTTTAATAATATATGAATTGTTAATTATCATATAAAATACTGTAATTGTCAGAAAAATGGGTAATTGTTTATACTACTATTTTATAAATTATAAACTATTTATTTTATCCAAATACTTTAAAATTTTTTATATGTTATTGAACCAGAAAATTAATTAAAATAATATTACAGGTAATAACAGTACTAAAAAACACCATGACAATGACGTGAAAATACGACGTGATATAAATGCATTACATAATGTAAATGCATTACATAATGTAAATGCATTACATAATGTAAATGCATTACATAATGTAAATGCATTACATGATAGAAATGCATTGCAAAGAAGATATGAATCACATACGTCAGTAGAATTTCCATCAGTACCATCACAAGGAATTCCCACTACTTCACCTACAAGAAATATTAATCACAGCGGTTCACGTTTAGAAACAGAACAAGATTTATCTCGTAACTTGAGATTCAATAATACAGTTAATACCATTAATAATAAAGTTGCAACAGTGACTGACAAAGAAAAATATAGCAATGAAAATCAAACGACTAGGTTGGTAAATCATACCGACCCGCAAATATCACTATTAAAAATACAGAACGACTTTATGACGGAATGGTTTACATGGAAAAAAACATTTCTTACGTATAAAAAATCGATTGATCCACTGGAAATCAATAAAGATAAGTGGTGTATACTGCTCTTAAATCGTATGGGTCCTATCGGCCAGGATATTTATAAAACTTTTACATTCGAAGACTTTCATGAAAAACAAGATATAAATAAATTATTAAAGAAATTTGATTTCTATTGCTTATTTGGAAATTTAACAAGAGAAGATCCTGATGAAACCGATAAATACGTAAATGCCTTAATGGTACGTTTCAATGAATATTTTTACTAATATCACAAACAGTTTGTTTAAATAGTTTTTGAAAAATTAGATAAAAGAAGCTCAAAGTTATGCAAAATTTTCTGACATTTTTTTTTTTATTTTTGCTTGTAAAGCTTGTTTCAATTTTGTGTGTAAAATTAATTGAATATAATTTTGAAAAAGTAAACGATAATTATTGATTTTTTATTTTGTCAAATAAAAATGCAAATAATTATTTTTTAGGTAATGGCATCGAAACATATGACAAATACGGATGAAGTAGTGAAGGAGAAGATTTTAATGGAAGTAGATAAAAATAAGTTCAGGCAAAAAGTTGGAAATTTAATTCCAGGATTCTCATATCCTGCGGGTATACAGTGGTTAACTGTAAGAGAAATGGCATACATTTGGATGTCGTACGAAAACTTCGACTTCAAACGAGATGAAAAAATCCTCAAGTCTCAAGTTAAAAACTGTCGTAATTGTGGAGACACGCATGCGCTAAATAGATGTCGTGCTCATGGTAAAAAATGTACCAAGTGCGGCATCGAAAATCACTTTTTCTACAGATGTCCATCTCAATATTTTGCCAACTGCATACGGTGCGGAGAAGGTCATTTTTCTCGACAATGTCCTGCTTACGGGAATGAATGCCATAAATGTCAGAAACCGAATCATTTCTCCTGGAAATGTGGGTTTCAAAAGCTTCTACAATGCAAATTTTGTGGTAACATGCATTTTGCATCTAAGCCATGTCCCGTGAGAAACTTCTAAGAATGTAAGAATATAATGTATTGTGAGGGATTATATCCAAAAGAGATAAACATATACAACATAAATGTTATCCATATGGTGTGTCTTCTGCAGTGTTGCAAAGCTTGATTCGATATAAGTTTTATAAAATATAATAAGTATGCATATATGTTTACTTTTATTTTAGTATCATTTTATATTACTATTAAGAACACAAGTAAATTTAAAAAATTGGAATTACTTTTCTTTCAAAAAATTTTGAAACATGCAAAAGTTATATTTTTTATGTACTTTATAAAATTACTATCTACATTTAATAAAAATATTATGATTGAGCAAAGATTTTTAATACCAAAAACCTCCTATATTAAAACGCAGCAGTAAAAAGCAAACGTGGCGCGAATTCATCGTTCTTTGAAGCTGTTCGGGTGACAGTGCACGATTATATGTAATCTTATCTTTCGATATAAGGAAGTTTATAATATGAAATCAACAGGACTCTTCTGGACTTCATTGACAGAAATTGCGATTATCAATTCTTTATTTTAATGAATCTCAAAACGTGCAAGAATTATAAGATACTTTTGCTATATGAATTTCTGTATAGAAATATTTTAAAACTGCGAATGTCTTTTACTATAAATTCTTTGACAAATTTGGTGACGATTTTTTATGAAATCGCCACCATTTAAATGTCATATCTTTTGATATTTATAAACTACGATAGTAGATATCAAATTAGGAAATTATTAGAAATGTGTATGCTATTGAGAGTACAAAATATATATTTTTGTATCAATTTTTTTTTAAATTATTACAGATAACTTTAGAAACGTACGTGCGTCTACCCTTAAGGGAGGAGCCTGGTGTAAATCGCTGAAAAAAAAAGTAATTTTTTGGTAATTTTTTTTTTTAAACAATGCAACAGATCTTTTTAATGTTTTATTATGTTTTAAAAAGTAAAAAAAAATTTTTTTGTTAAAAAATGGATATTATTTTAGCACCTATAAACAGATCTTGACACGGTCTTGTCGCCGAAGTTGTAGCGCCTTTTGTCTAAAATTGTTTAAATTAATTATTTTATTAATTTTATGGGTTCATCGACGATTGAATTTAATAAACTACATGTATGCATCGGGACAACTCGATTGATCGAATAGTTTCTAACTAATCTTTCCCACCAATTTAAAAAAAGGTTTAAAAAAAAGTTTTGAGAAAAACGCGTTTAAAGTTTTTGAAATAGAAAAGTAAAAAGGAAAAGTGATTTTTGGAAAAACGCAGCTATTTTCTGTTAGTCTGCTATTCCAGGTCCATACAGCAAACCTTCAGCTTCCTTGTAGAATTGAAAACAATTTTCGAAACGATTACACCAGGTTTCCTCCTTTCAATCAGATCCATTCAATGACATGTTCAACTTGGCAACACTGCGTAAAATATATAGCACACATCTGACTCAACGACTCCGTTTGTTCGGTATCCTCAACAAGTGTGCAGTGTCGGATTGAAGCTGGCGAAGAACGAAAGGAGATTATCGTAATATTAGACTTTTTGCCAATTTATTTGAAAGCAATAAACAGTTGTTATCAGTCTTCCAGCAAAGATTAACGATAGCAAAATATGATACGTGTTGAAAACATTGATGTAAAGATTGAGTGCAAAGCACATTTTATAGTCGGCTTCCCGTCAATCTCTGGAATCCCCGGAATCCCCGGACTAAAACTTCTTAATGTGAATTTCTCAAGTAAGTTTTTTTTGTACACGTTTTTTAGTGAAATAATAAATATGGTTTTTAATACATTTAACCAGACAGCACACATATCCAAAAGACGTTCAGAAGACATCCCGAAGATATCTTTGAGAAATACGATAACTTCGGGATGTCTTCCGAATGTCCCCCGGGTATGCATGCTGTGTAAGTGGTTTTTATTAATGATAGCAAAATATAAATACAATACATACTGATGTAAAGATTGAGTGCAAGATATAATTTATAGCGAGCTTTCCGTCAGTCCTTGGAATCCCCGGACTAAAACTTCCTAATGTGAATTTCTCAAGTAAGTTTTTTTGTATACGTTTTTTAGTGAAATAATAAATATGGTTTTTAATACATTTACCCACATAGCACACATTCAAAAGACGTTCAGAGGGCATCCCGAAGATATCTTTGAGAGATACGACATCTTCCGGATGTCTCCTGAACGTCCTTCGGGTATGAATGCTGTGTGGGTAGTTTTATTAACGATAGCAAAATATGACCAATACATACTGATATAAAGATTGAGTGCAACATATAATTTATAGCGAGCTTTCCGTCAGTCCTTGGAATCCCCGGACTAAAACTTCCTAATGTGAATTTCTCAAGTAAGTTTTTTTGTATACGTTTTTTGGTGAAACAATAAATTGGTTTTTAATACATTTACCTACATAGCACACATCCAAAAGACGTTCAGAAGACATCCCAAAGATATCTTTGAGAGATACGATATCTTCGGGATGTCCCCCGAACGTCCCCCGGGTATGCATGCTGTGTGAGTAGTTTTATTAACGGTAACGAAATATAATAAATACAATAAGTATTAATATAAAGATTCAGTGCAAGATATAATTTATAGTGGGCTTACGTTCGAATGAATCTTCGGAAGTAAAATGTAAAACTTCCTAATCTGGATTTCGCAAGTAAGTTTTATACGTTTTTAGTGAAACAATAAATATAGTTTTAATACGTTTAGTTTTTGTTTATTAATTCTTAATCCATTTTTGATGCGTAATTGTTATTAGTGATCTATATTTTCTTAATATTGTGAGCTGTCTT